GTCTGGATGGTATCTCTCCATCATTCCTGCAGCAGGGACTGGATTTACTCCTAACCCGCTTAAGGAGACTGATGCTAAGCAGCCTAGCAATTGGAAACATCCCAAATGCGTGGCGTAGAGCTAGGGTGGTCTTCATCCCCAAAGTAGGGAAGAAAGACAACACCAATCCCAAGTCCTTCAGACCTATCAGTTTAACTTCATTTTGTCTTAAAACATTGGAAAAGCTGATAGACTACCACATTAGAAGCACAGTTCTCAAGGCTGTCCGCTGCAGTCCACGCAGCACGCATACAGGGCAGGTCGTTCAACAGACACAGCACTGTACCAACTTTGTCAAACTCTTGAAGGAGCAACAGACAACAAAGAAGTAGCAATCTGCGCCTTTCTAGATATAGAGGGAACCTTTGACAATGCGTCGCATGATGCCTTCTTAGCGGCCCTCGCCAAAAGGAATATTGACGCAACAACAAGAAAGTGAATTGGAGCCTTGTTAAGCTCCAGACAGGCAATGGCGTTCATTGGCAATAGCACAATGACCGTTGCCACAAGCAGAGGAGTTTTATCTCCTCTACTGTGAAGCCTACTAGTAGATGAACTACTAAGGAAACTCGCCGACAGAGGAATACAATGTCAGGGCTATGCCGATGACATAGTAATAGTACCCAAAGGGAAATTTGAAGAAACACTTTGCGATATTGTCCAACTCGGACTCAAGATAACGCTCGACTGGTGCAGGGAAGTTGGACTTTACCTCAACCCCGCAAAAACAGTCATTGTTCCTTTAACAAAGAAGTACAAACTAAAGAAGATGAGACAAATCATACTACTACTCCCGTAGTACTCCCGTAGAAATAAGCCGGGAAGTTAAGTACCTCGGAGTTACCTTCGACAGGAGGCTAACGTTTGCAACCCATATGCAAAAGACAGTGGATAAGTGCCTCAGGGCTCTCTTCACCTGTCGGAAAATTGCAGGGAAATCCTGGGGGACCTCACCCCAAATTATCAGATGGTTATATCTTATAATTGTGAGGCCAATACTCACATATGGGTCTGTAGCCTTGGGTAAACGAGCTAGGCTTGTTACCGCACAGAAACAGCTCCAAAGGCTGCAAAGACTGGTATGCATATGTATGACAGGAGCAATGAGAACCTGCCCACTGCGGCACTGGAAGTTCTCATGGAACTCACTCCGCTACATTGCGTAGTAGAGTTACAGCGGAAGGCCACCCTACTAAGAATCACTTCTTGTGGTAATGGCAGTGATCGCATCCTCAGTTCTAGGGATGCAGCAAAACTACTAGTCGAACTTCCCCTGAGCTCACACCCCAGGGACGAAATGACAGTAGAATTCATCTTTGAAAAGAATTTCTCTGCTCATCTGAGCAACTAGAAAGAATGGACCACCATGAAGGAAGTACATTCCATGGCGAGTCACACTATAGCATGGTATACGGACGGGTCTTTAACACACCAAGGCACTGGCCTTGGAGTAGTAGGACCACGAATCAAATACCATGAATCGTTAGGCCAATACACCAGCATATTCCAAGCTGAAGTTCGCGCCATAGGACGGTGTGCAGAGCTCAATATGAAGCGTGGGTACACAAACAAGGACATTGCGATCCTCTCGGACAGTCGAGCGGCAATTACTGCACTATGCAGCAATAGAATCACCTCGAAGCTGGTACGAGAAGTAAGAACAAAGCTGAACCTTCTGGGAAGCAACAACAGGCTGTCATTAAGATGGATTCCAGGACACAAAGACATATCCGGGAATGAACTAGCCGACAGGCTAGCAAAACTAGGGGCGGAACGACCCCTTATAGGACCCGAGCCTTACTGTGGCTTAGGCAGACACACAGTCAAAGATTACCGAAGAACGGAAGAGGTATATATGAGGAAAGCCTGCTGGGTAGACACCACAGGCCAAAGACAAGCCAAAACCCTCATCGTCAATTATGACATGAAGAGGTTTAAGAAACTTATACTACTAGGGAAAAGTTCACTTAGGATAGTTACCGGCCTACTAACCGGACACTGCAAACTAAGGAGACACCTATTTAATATAGGGATTACAAACAGAAAAACATGCAGATTCTGTGATAGCGAGGATGAAACCTCCCTACCTACCTCAGAATGCCCAGCACTAAGTAGCCTGAGGAGCAGAACCCTCGGGTCCAGGTTCCTTACACTTGGGACCTCTGGAAGCATCGACCCGATAAAGCTCCTTAACCTTATCGAAGGAGCCGGATTGATGGGTGAGCTCTAAGCTCAGATAGGGGGTACAATAGATCCAGTTGGGTCGAGGTAACCAAAAAACTATCTACCGACGAACATTCGGCTCTTAATTGCCAAAACCTGTCTTGTCCCAACTTTAATGTATGGTGTTGAAATTTTTGCAAATTGTGATTCAGTTAGTCTCCGTAAAATCAATGTTTGCTTCAACAATATTGTTCAATATAAATACGGTCTGAGGTTGTATGACCATGTCTCGACACTAGAATGTAATATATTGGGATTAAGTATAAAAGACTATATGATTTTTAGAACTTTAATATATTACTGCACAAGATTTTTTATTCAAAAGAACCAGCGTACCTGTACAGAAAACTTAAGTTTGCCTCTTTAGAACGAATGAAAAACATTATAGTTAAAAGGCACAGGACATTGACCTCAGACCTCATAGTCTATTCCATGAGATGTGCCGTTATATTTCTAGTTTTTTCTGCTTTTTTCCGAGTAAAACTGAATGTTTTAATTTGCCAAATGCAATATGTGCAATAATAAGCTCATTCAGTTTTCAGTATTTAGAAAAACCTATGTTTTTGAATTTAGTTTATTAAATTTTTCGTTTTAATTAAAAAATTAATTTGATTTATTTTAAAAACCAATTACAAAAACAGCAACCATAAAATAATCAAAAAAAAAATTTTTTTCCTCCTTTTGCTTAGTGCGTCTTCCGGTTATAACGACGAAAAATGGTCGGTCCCTTGAAAGTCGTTATAACCGGATTCTACTGTAGTTATATATGTTAATTTAAATTCAATGTGACTAGGACAATAATAAATAAGCAATAGCTTGTAGCCCTGGGAAAATACTAAAATAAATAAATAAATAATAAATAAAAATACGTTTTAATATCCGTTTCCGAAAATAAGTACATATGTATTATATGTACCTGTATTCAAAATTTGTTTTGTGTTCGATTCCAACTATATTAAGAAGGTCACTATGTTAAACCAATACCAGTCGTAACGTACCCTAAGAATAATCGTTTTAAATTAAACCATAACAAGAAAGGAAGCTAGCTTCGGCAAGCCGAAGCTTATATACCCTTGCAGTTACTAAATATGTCGAAAAAATACATAAAAGCTAAAGAGCATCGAAGCTATGACGATTTTTCTATTAATTTTCCATATTGTTCATATGACAGCTATATGATATAGTCGTCCGATTTTAATGAAATTTGCTTTGTAACTCAAGACTCATTAGAAAACTCTATATTCCAAAAATCATTATTGTCTGATGAAAAACAACGAGGTTATAATTATATTTCCGTTATTTCTATATAGATTTTTCGATCTTTCCTATGGCAGCTAAATGATATAGTACTCCGATTTTTATGAAATTTTTTTCTCGATTTAAGAGTATTTCAAAAACTTGATGTTCCAAAACAACGACATTATAATTTTCTTTCCATTATTTATATATATATTTTTTGATCTCTCCTATGGCAGCTATATGATAGAGTTATCCGATTTTGATAAAATTTAATACGAAATTCAAGTGCAGTTAGAAAACGCCATCTGGAAGAAATCAAGTCGATCTGATCAAAAACAACGAACTAAGAATTTTTTATTTCATTCTCTTGTATGGGAGCTATCCGATATAGTCGCCCGATCCGGCTCGTTCCGACTTATATACTGCGTGCAACAACTACACAACTTTTGGGAAAGTTTCAGCGAGATAGCTTTAAAACTGAGAGACTAGTTTACATAGAAACCGACAGGAGGACAGACGGACAGACAGACAGACGGACAGACGGACAGACGTACAGACGGATTTCGATTCTGATCGTGATGCTGATCAAGAATATATATACTTTATGGGGTCTGAGGTGTCTCCTTCACTGAGTTGCAAACTTCTGACTGAAGTTATAATACCCTTTGCTCTGCAAGGGTATAATAAAAGGTAGTTGGGAAATTAAATGTAATCGCTATGTTGAGGATTTAAGATGTTCATTGTCATTGGTTAACTTATTTTTCCATGAATTTATATATTTATAAAATTATATTTTACTAGATATGTTATGTATATATAAAAATATTATAATTATTTTGTACTATTTTAAAAATTTAAAAACTGCACATTTATATAATATTAAACAGTAAAAATCAAAGCTATTTGCAGACTTAAAAAAAGTTTCATTATCCCAATATCTTTTACGATACTTTAAAAATTAAAATACAGAAAAATTGTGATTGTTTACTTTAGTATTTATTGTGGCCGGTAGCAATGGCTTGTGGTTCGATTGGAGACTGCCTGCTTATAACACTTGGCTAGATCGAAATTCTATCTAATATCCGTAGCGTCATAATGTGTAATTTAGCCGACATTTGGCGTATGAAACGAAGAGACATTGAAAATTTTTATTCTCTTTGAAATTTATCTTGTTCTTGTTATCTTCTGACTGAAGTTATAATACCCTTTGCTCTGCAAGGGTATAATAAAAGGTAGTTGGGAAATTAAATGTAATCGCTATGTTGAGGATTTAAGATGTTCATTGTCATTGGTTAACTTATTTTTCCATGAATTTATATATTTATAAAATTATATTTTACTAGATATGTTATGTATATATAAAAATATTATAATTATTTTGTACTATTTTAAAAATTTAAAAACTGCACATTTATATAATATTAAACAGTAAAAATCAAAGCTATTTGCAGACTTAAAAAAAGTTTCATTATCCCAATATCTTTTACGATACTTTAAAAATTAAAATACAGAAAAATTGTGATTGTTTACTTTAGTATTTATTTGAACATAGTTAAAGTTATACTTATAAAAATCTTTGTAAAAGCGACTTGATTTGCAAAGAGTAAAAATCGTAAAAATTATACTAGCTAATTAAATTAAAAAGGGACATAAAAAGTAGGTACAGTGAAGAATAAACATATATGTATGTGTATGTTATATACACATATATATATATATACTTATATGTACATATACGGATATATACGCAACGGGCTTTCTAGAGCCGAAAGCAGAAATTTAATGTTTTACAAAAAAAAAATAATATATATATATATATATTTATATATACATAAATATATATGTATATGTTTGTATTGTACATAAGTAATAGGTATGTATATATATTTATACTAGCAAGCTCCTAGCGAAGGATAAATAAATTCCAACCAAAATAATATTTATATTAAAATATTAATAATCCATATAAGTACATTAGTATTATAAAACGCCGTCGAAAGAAAAGAAAAAAATGTTAGTCCTGAGGTGCACACCAGGGTCTGGCCAGACCTTTTTAGACTTTTAGACTAACTGAAGTCTCTAATAATAGTCGTGGCAAGGTTTTTAAAGGCAAAAAATGATATACATACATATTTGTGTGTTCTTTTTTTTTTTTGAGGCGACATGAATATTATAATTTTATTAAATTTAATGACATGTTATTCTATAACTTTTTAAGTATAATAGAAAAATATGAATTAAGAAGCTTGTTACTGTAAATCTCCAGAAGCGACTTGAAAAAAGGTTGGTTAGCGGTGAACATTATAACTCAACCAAAACAAAAAGCTTGATATGCGTTTTAAAGTTGATGTATTTTTTGAGGTAATCAGAAAGAATTTTTTCTGTACTTTTGCAGCACTTGGGAGTTAAAAAGCGCGATTTTAGATGTTAATTTGTTTTTAACAAGAAAGGAAGCTAGCCTGTTTATATACCCTCGTTCTCATATTAATGAACGCTATACAAAAAGGCTAAACAACATCGAAGCTATGTCGACTTTTCTATGAAGTTCCTGTATTTTGACACCTATATGCTATAGTCGTCCGATTTTTATGAAATTTAATTCGAAATTCAAGAATCATAAGAAAACTCTATATTTTAAAAATTATGCTTTTCTGATCACAAACAACGATTTCATCATGTTGTTTTCGTTAATTTCTGTTAATTCTATACAGATTTTTCGATTTTTCCTATGGTGGCTATATGATATGTTTTCCGATTCTTTAGAAATTCTTCGTCCGATTTTTATGAAAAATTTGAAATTCGAAAGTCATTAGAAAACTCTATATTCCAAAAATTGTCTGATGAAAAACAACGAAGTTTTCAATTTTTTCCGTTAATTGTATATAGGTTTTTGATCTTTCCCATGGCAGCCATATGATATAGTTATCCGATTTTGATAAAATTTTATTCGAAATATGATAGCATTAAAAAAAAAACACATTCCGAAAGAAGTCATGTCGATATGATCAAAAACAACGGCGTGATAAATTTTTGTTTTCAATCGCTATGGGAGCTGTCCGATATACATATGTACATATGTAATATTACATTTATATTTTTAAATTTTGGAAAAGTTGAAACAAGATAGAAATAGATGAAAAGTACTTACATAATTTTACCATATCTGCAGTATTTATACCCTTGCAAAGCAAAGGGTAATATTAGTCAAAAGCTTGCAACGCAAAGAAAAGTATGTATATTCTTGATCAGCATCACGATTTCAATCGAAATACGTTTGTACGTCTGTCCGTAGTTGTTGGATCAGTGAGCTTTTTCACTAAACATAACCTTTGGTGGTGGTCAAATAAAATAAAACCGCCCAAATTTTCAACTAAATTTACACATATTTATTTAAATGGCATTTAAATAAATGACATTAATTTACGTTTAGATTTGAAATTTAATGATTTGATTTAGGCTGCGGCATGACCGAACATTCTCACCCCGCTGAAAGATCAGGCCTTTCAACCAGATCCTGCTACGGCAGCACGCACAAATTGCGGACAGCCCTTCGAGTGATTCCAGTTGATGTTCGTATTGCCCCTCCAAAGCTATCGACAAATGTGAAAAGGGAGGACACCGTGCTCGATGATAAAATTTGATGCTTAGAATGCAGCCTCCACTAGTCATCAGCCAAGTCGCTCATTGGGATATATCTGATAAGCATCTGAGTGCCCATTTAGACATCTTCGACGTCAAGACCAGTGCGTCTTATACGGTGTGCAAATTTGTATACGTCTCCAAAAGTGTTGGTCATTTTTTGCCAGGAATTCACGAATTTGCATTTTAAAGATGGATTCACTTCGGTACAAACGTCAATCAAAATGCGCTTTCTGAGCTCGGAAAGAGTCTTCACAGGCAAACAAGATTCAGGCCAATCGTGCTGATTCTGTAATGCAGTTGCCTTGATAAAAGAAGATCCACCTCCTGTTACAATCCAACCAAGCCTCGTTTTCTGTAATAGGGGGTAACCCAGCAGTCAACTTAATCTGCCCTACAGATAATAACTAAAAAAACATGCTTGCGCCAATCAGAAGATCTAAACGCTGAGATTTATAAAATTCAGGAACGGCCAACTGAATTTTAGCGGAAATTTTCCAGCTATTGGGCTTAACGGTCAAACTGGGTCGATTGTCAATAATCGCTGGAGCAACAAGAGCAGATAGGCACGCGAAGTAATCAGAGGTATGCGACTCTAGCATGATGCAAACGGAAACTCCTTCAGAGTCAAATCGAGCATCTCCAAGACCAGGAACTGATACGGTAGACTTCGTTTTAGGCAATTTCAACTGGTGAGCAAGTCGGGAAGTCACAATGTGGACCTGATCGACTTTGAACGCTTATGCAATTGGAAGAAAGACAGTATCAGAATCCACATTCTGAGCCAGCAATGAGGTAGAAGGGCTTGAAGCAATTGCATTTGGCGTACTTTGTACGAACCTGGGTCGAAGGCTGAGAGTTAAGATGTAAAAGGCTATGATGCTTAGACCCGCAAATTCGACAGCAGCCTGACCTACAATTGCGCATTTGGTGCCCCTTCTTTAAGTAATTAAGACAAAGCGCCAATCCTTTTGACTTTTGAATGCGCCCCCTGACCACAACTATAAATGGAATGACCACTGTTGTCACACACAACCCATGCATGTCCCGAAGTGTTGGTGGCAATTAAGATGATTTTGTAACGGCTTTTTTCTGATAGTGAATCATTTGAGTACAAAGCTGCAGTGAGCTCTATATTTTCCAAATTTTTGGCAGCGCTTTGACAATAATGTAGCGAAATGATTAATCGAAGGAATTTCATCAATAGCCGAAGATTCTTCCCAATTGGCCTGAGTCTTGCTATCTAATTTTTGCAAATTTGTTTAATTTGCGGAATCACAACAAAAGGATTTGGTATTGCAGGCTCACAGGCTGTGAGCCTGCAGTGACAACATGGGCCAGTGACCCGGTCTCAGAAGACTTTTGTGCGGGTATATTTACACGGTGAGGTGGAATCAGAGGTTGAGAACCAGCTTCAGGCATATCGGAACTACTTACCGTCAAAGGTCGTACACACCGCTTTAGATCGACCGGGCCCCGAATCTTTTTTAGCTGCCGATCTCAGCAACATTTGAGGGGCTGCTAAGGACAACTTCTGACGGGGACTCTTCTTAAAGGACTCTAGCTTAAAGCTATAAAACTGCGAGTCCAGCGCTAAACGAAGATAATTTGCTTTAGCAAATAACTATCCTAGCTATGCCAAACCAGTGATCAGTCTCTTTAAGCTGCCTTTAGTTTGGCGCATTAACGATTTCATCTCATTTGCAATTTCTGGCAAGCTTCACACCAAAACTTTGAAGCCAGGCCTTTACTAAGATCGTTACTTATCGGCCCTGTAAATTTAGCCCACTTACTGTGCACCATCATACCACAAAGTCTACAAGTAAGTTTAGCCAGCTCCGTATTAATTTTTATATGACGCTTTTTTTTTTAAGCATCCAATATAAGTGTCCATGGACTTACTAATTCGGACCACTGTGCCAAGGGAAATCAAAACGAAAATTGTAAGCGAGCAATAAAAAACCAAAGAGAAACCAGGAGAGCTAACCGGAAAAACACAAAAGAAAGACGGAAGTGAATACAAGAAAAGAACACCAGAGATCAGATAATAAAAAATTTCATTATAAAAATAGTAGTGCTATTTGAGAAAACAATCACACGAAAAGCGAACGGTTGCAAAATGTTAAGTGCATGATTTAACGATATCGGATTTACTAAAACTGGTTATCTAAATAAAAATCAGAAAACCAATTTTTTTTTTAAATTTGTAATTGTTATTTATTAGATCTTATTTTCTTAGATGCTAACAAGAGGCTTTTAAATTTTAATCTAAGCTTATTTATTTTGCTTTAAGACCTAGCTTGCCTGAAGATCCATATCACCCTGCTTTCGTGGTGACTATCGACACTGGTATAACAGTTAAAAATAATGCTATAAAGCCAGCCAAGCGAATTCATTGTTTTCGCAAGGCAAACTTTCTGAGACTTAATCATCTTATATCTGGCAATGACTGGTCCGATCTCTATTCCTGCAATAATATGGAAGACGCCATTACAATTTTTTATTCGGCAATAAAACTGTTTTTTAACTCATGTGTTCCGCTATATAACCCGTCAACATCCCATAAACCACCGTGGTTTAGCAAAGAGTTGACACACCTTAGGAATTTAAAGTCCAGACTTTATAAAAAATATAAAATTTCAGGTTGTCAGTCTGTTTTTGGAAAATACATAAGAGCTCGGTCAAACTTTACCGTGCTTAACGCTCAGTGTTACAAGAATTATTTAGTCCGTTGCAGGTCCCAGTTTTTACGGGATCCCAAACAGTTCTATAATTTTGTCAACACTAAGCGCAGATCATGTTCCTTTCCGCCTTCGCTCTCGTTTGAAAGTAGGACGGCTAACACTGATCAGGCAATAGCCGATCTGTTTGCCCAATTCTTTCAAACAACTTACTCTACAGTGTCTCATTCAAGTGAGCAATATTTATACTCAATACCTAAGTCGAACCTTATATTTCGTCCCACCTTAAACGAAAGCTCCCTACTTTTGGATCTTCAACGTGTTACTCCAGTTTACTCCC